ACGACACACACACACACACACACACACATGTATATATATATATATGTACACACACACACACACACACACATATATATATATACATATATACCTAGATAAATAGATACATGTATACGTAATTACATTCAAACGCATAAACACAAACGGCCACTAGAACATTACATAAGTAAACGCAAACACATACACACACACTCGTTCTCCGTTACTGACAGACTAGAGAAGCCAAAACAACACCATATCGGACACAGACAGATATCAATCAACAGATAGGGCAGACACGAGCCACTTAAGAGATCTCTGGCAAACACCTCCTACCGGTAGTATGCGGTCTCGTCGGGACTGTTATTAAACACTTGTAGGAATTGCGACCGTCGCAAATGGAACATGAACTGTGGGTAGAGCGAAAAGGCCAACGACAGGCGGAACGACTGCGGTTGGTCCTTGTTGTACTCTCCGAACTTCTGGCACAATCTGCCGTACAACGCAGGACAGGGGCAAGGGCAAGGTTAGTATGAAACTATTTATAGACCACACCAGCCTTCGTTCCCACTAATTCATAGCCAATAAGCCACTAATTCATAGCTAATAAGCCACTAATTCATACCCAATAAGTCACTACCACATGCCTAATAAGCCACTACATCTACCTGATAAGTCACTAATCAATATCTAATAAGCCACTCCCTCACACATAATAAGCCACTACCTCATACCTAATAAGCATTCGGTCCAGCCATCGCAGCACATCGGCTCCTTCATCGTTGACTGAGCGATAGACTGCGATGCGTGTCATGAGCACAGCAGCCGCTTCTTGGTCAAAGCCAGCGGCTATGTACTGTGGGTTGTCCTGTGCATTGCCCCAATTACGCGCCACAGTGGTCACCCGCACCCGTCTCGTGCCGTTACACGCTTGGTACACGGTGGTAAACTGTGTTATGAAAGGCAAGGGACAGTAGACACACACGTGTGTGATTGGGGGTGGTAAACTGTGTTATGAAAAGAAAGAGACAGCAGACACACACGTGTGTGAGTGGGGGTGCTCATACACTCCGTGTACTGGATGGTATGCGGATATGCATGAGAGATAGAGAGATGCATGTGATATGAGAGTTTGACAGATGTGTGTGTGAGTGGCCGTTCGCTTGATACATTGCAGGGGTGTATAGGGGTTTGAGTGTATAAGGTTTTGAGTGTATAGGGTTTTGGGTGCGGACTGGCAACCCCCCGGTACACTACGTACGAGTGAAGTGAAAGAACTCAGACACCAACCACAGTCAACAGTGGACCATCGCAGTACCATTCACACACACCTGCGCATAACCTCCTACTCACATACATACACAGACAGATATCACGTATATATATCCAGATAACAAGCATACACAGACAGATAAGACGCATATACATCCAGACAACAAGCATACACAGACAGATAACACGCATATACATCCAGACAACAAGCATACACAGACAGGTAACACGCATATACATCCAGACAACAAGCATACACAGACAGATAGCACGCATATACATCCAGACAACAGGCATACACAGACAGATAACACGCATATACATCCAGACAAGCATACACAGACGGATAACCCGCATATACATCCAGACAACAAGCATACACAGACAGATAACACGCATATACATCCAGATAACAAACATACACATCCAGACAATACGCATATACATCCAGACAACAAGCATACACATCCAGACAACACGCATACACATCCAGACAGCACGCATATACATCCAGACAACAAGCATACACAGACAGATAGCACGCATATACATCCAGACAACAAAAATACACAGACAGACAACACGCATATACATCCAGACAACAAGCATACACAGACAGATAACACACATATACATCCAGACAACAAGCATACACAGACAGATAACACGCATATACATTCAGACAACAAGCATACACAGGCAGATAACCTGCATACACATCCAGACAACAAGCATACACAAACAGATAACACGCATTTATATCCTGACAACAAGCATACACATCCAGACAACCAGAACGCGATGTGCTCATGCCCATCAACATACAACACACCTGCACCAGCCCCATCTGCGACTGTATAGGGCTTGTGTGTGGGTTGGCGACCTCTAGATACACCGCTGTGGTACTGAGAGGGTCTAGGCCACAGATACGCCATTTGTGTGTGCTGCCGTCGCCTATTTCGTTCTCACTGACATACGGGGAGTTCTCCACTGGCACGGCAGAAACACTCCCTACGGACAACAAGACCAACAGAGTTAACAGGGTAGATAAGGCAAATAGGGTTGATAAGGAGAATGAGGTGAACAAGGACATTGAAACACTCCCTACAGCCAACAAGACGCACATAGGGTAGATAAGAAGAATGAGGAGAATGACAGGCACTGCAGAGATACTCCCTACAGCCAACAAGACCAACAGAGCTAACAGGGTAGATAAGGCAAACCGGGTAGATAAGGAGAATGAGGTGAATAACAGGCACTGCAGAAATACTCCCTACAGCCAACAAGACCAACGCAGATAACAGGGTAGATAAGGCAAACAGGGTAGATAAGGAGAATGAGGTGAATAACAGGCACTGCAGAAATACTCCCTATAGCCAACAAGACCAACAGAGTAAACATGGTAGATAAGGCAAACAGGGTAGATAAGGAGAATGAGGTGAATAACAGGCACTGCAGAAATACTCCCTATAGCCAACAAGACCAACAGAGTTAACATGGTAGATAAGGCAAACAGGGTAGATAAGGAGAATGAGGTGAATAACAGGCACTGCAGAAACACTCCATAGGGCCAGCAAGACCTAACAAGGTGAACAGCAGAATGTAACTATCACTCTATACACACCTACAGAATGTACCTATCACTCTATACACTACCACAGAATGTACCTACCCCTCTATAAAACTATCACAGAATGTAAATACCACACTATACACTCCTACAGAATGTACCTATCACTCTATACACTACCACAGAATGTACCTATCATTCTATACACTACCACAGAATGTAACTACCACCTTATACATTACCACAGAATGTACCTATCACTCTATACACTACCACAGAATGTACCTATCACACTATACACTACCACAGAATCTACCTATGGCGCCGCAGACTTTGAGTTCTTTTGAACACCGCACCTCCATGGTGGCGTTAAACGCCATGTTGAACTCTCCTCTGCCATTCTTCTGGAACACACGCGCGTACGTTTGCTTAAAGAGAGACGACGTGAAGGTGTCTCCGAGTGTCAGATGGCCCCCTGAATGGCAGCAGCACATGACAGCATTGGATTAGCTTTGCGTAAGAGAAGTGTGCGGTAAAGCTCACATAAGTGACAGAGTGTTCGTTCAAATTACACGAGTAAGGGGTTAGTGAGCAAGCACGTCAAAGTGACTTCCGGGTGCAAATGGGCCCTCGAAGTGATAACGGGACAGTATCACAGGGCTTAAAGGCGGCAGGTTAAAGTCAACCAGGCATATATACACATACTGAAGTGTGCTTTTGTGGGTGCAAATGGGCCCTCGAAGTGCAACCGGGACAGCATCACAGGGCTTAAGGGCGGCAGGTTATAGTCAATCGTGCATATATACACATCTGAAGTGTGCTTTTGTGGGTGCAAATGGGCCCTCGAAGTGAAAACGGGACAGCATCATAGGGTTTAAGGGCGGCAGGTTAAAGTCAATCGTACATATATACCCATCTAAAGTATATATTTTTGTGCCCCGATGTGATTTAGATGTCTTTTGTAATACATATGCACAAAGGCTGTTCACACAGTTCAGTGGCAGGGCATTCATTCAGAACTAACAGTACACGTCTGCTCAATCGACACAGGACTATATGTTAATGACCGCCACTAAAGGGAAATAAGCAAGGAGGTATTTTTACACCATAATACACTATATATAAATACACACACACAGACACACACAGATACAAACACATGTACATATAAAACACACACACACACACATACAAACACATACATAAAAACACACACACACATACATATATATATATATATATACATATATATATATATACATATATATATATATATATATATTAGTTAAACTTGTGAAACGCCAGGGTGCATATGATGTAGAAAATTATACCGGGGGCCAGGAGGATATATATATATATATATATAGAAATATATTTACACACACACACATATGTATATTTACCTGTGAGATTGACGAGTTGCTGCATCTCGTGTAGACCCGTCTGGTCCAGCGCACATGTGAACAGATCCACAACATGGCCCACTGACGCCGCACGTTTGGCCAAAGTGGAGTAGTGCTGTTGTATAGTAAGTAAGCAGTGCTGGAGTGAGTTGCGTGTTGTGTGCATTCAACAGATACGATTATGACTCATAGTACCTACATGAGCACCAGTGCTACAGCCAAGGAAGTAGTATCACACGTCATCAAATCCTCCTATAGTCTTAAACCCTAAAACCCTAGAACTCTAAAACCCTGCTATGGATTTGCGCTGTTGACTACAGGCGTGGTCAGAGATTGCGAAGACCGCGTTCAGTCAGTGCGGCGTAACACTGCCGTGACAGTCACAGTTGTTGGGTGAGTGCATATAGCGCACATTGGGCGAACGCGCCAGACCATGAGTCAACTATTGTGTAGTGAAGTGGTAGTGGGAGAAGCAATAGCAGGAGGGTGCTAGGTTTAGCAATAGCAAACGTTTGATAGTTGTGAACAGATGTATTACAATGTAAGTTGTAGGTTTAGCAATAGCAAACGTTTGATAATGTTGAACAGATGTACTACAATGTAAGTTGTAGGTTTAGCCATGGCATACGTTTGATAGTTGAGAACAGATGTATTACAATGTAAGTTGTAGGTTTAGCAATAGTAGACGTTTGATAGCTGTGAACAGATGTATTACAATACAAGTTTAGATATTGAGCCGTAGTGCAGCCGCAATCCGTATCCTACATGCATATGCACCAACATCCATGTGCACCTAACCCTAAAGCCCTAAAACCCTAAAGCGCTACAACTCTAAAACTTTCATGTGCACATTTATAATGTAGCTGGCCCATAGGCCCCAATGCGTATATGTCGTTGTGCGAAAGCTCGCCGTACCATCACACACACACACACACACACACATATATATACATATATACTCATTCCAACTCACACACACAGAGGCAATTTATAAACATATCTATATCTACCGCATGCATGTACACAACACGTCAGACAGCAGCTGCCTTACCTTTGTAGCCTTGTGCATGTGGTTCACATCTGCGCGTTCAATGTCAGTCCATGAGCGCAAAGTCTCCTTCAACTCATTGCCCACTATCAACCCAGGGCCTTGAGTACACGCACCACCCAAGAATGTCATGATACGAGCACCTGTCTCAGGAAATGTGCACTAGAGAGGTACATGGAAGTAGTTGGATATCAGCATATATGTATATGTATATGTAT